CTCAGCCTCCCGAGTAGCTGGGATTACAGGCGTCCGCCACCACGTCTGGCTAATGTTTTGTATTTTTAGTAGAGATGGGGTTTCACTGTGTTAGCCAGGATGGTCTCGATCTCCTGACCTTGTGACCCGCCTGCCTCGGCCTCCCAAAGTGCTGGGATTACAGGCGTGAGCCACCGTGTGCTGCCTAATTTTTGTATTTTTAATAGAGACAGGGTTTCACCATGTTGGCCAGGTTGGTCTCGAACTGACCTCAGGCGATCCACCCACCTCAGCCTCCCAAGTGCTGGAATTACAGGTGTGAGCCACCACGCCCAGCCACCTGTAGCATTTTTTAAGTGGACTGTTAAGTGGCATCAAGTATGTCCACACTGTTGAGCTATCATTACTACCATCCGTCTCCACAATTTTTCATCTTCCCGAAAACCTCTCTCCCCATTAAATAATTACTCCTATTCCCCCTCCCTCCAGCCCTGGACAGTCACCATTCTACTTTCTGTCCGTATGAATTTGACTCCTCTAGGGACCTTATATGAGTGAAATCATACAGCATTTGTTCTTTTGTACTGGCTTTTTTTATTTAACATAATGGCCTCAAGATTTATTCATGTTGTAGTGTGTGTCAGAATTCCCTTTCTTTTATTTATTTATTTTTTTGTTTTGTTTTGAGACAGAGTCGCACTGTATCGCCCAGGCTAGAGTGCAGTGGTATGGTCTCGGCTCACTGCAACCTTCACCTCCTGGGTTGGAATGGTTCTTGTGCCTCAGCCTCCCGAGTAGCAGGGATTACAGGTGTGCGCCACCACACCCAGCTAATTTTTTTATTTTCAGTAGAGATGGGGTTTCACTATGTTGGCCAGGCTGGTCTCGAACTGCTGCAGTCAAGTGATTCTCCTGCCTCGGCCTCCCAAAGTGCGGGGATTACAGGTGTGAGCTGCTGTGCCTGGCTGGAATTCCCTTCCTTTTTAGGGCTGAGTGACATTCCGTTGTGTGTAGATACCACATGTTGTTTATCCATTCATTCATGGATGGACACTTGGGTGGTTTCCATCTCTTGACTGTTGGGAATAATGCTGCCAGGGATGTGGTTGTGCACTGTCATTTTTGACATAGCAGCCAAAGGATATTTTTAAACATGGAAATCAGATCATGTCACTCCCCTGCTCAAAACTCCCCATGGACTTTTCCCAGCACTTACTGTAAAATCCAAAATCCCATTCTAGACTTACGAGGCATGATCTGGCCTCTACTGGCCCCATGATGATGTGACCTCCTGTCTTTCTTTCTTCCAGCCTTGCAGCCTCCTCTTTTTTTTTTTGAGATGGAGTCTTGCTCTGTTGCCCAGAGTCAAGTCCAGTGGTGTGATTTCTGCTCACTGCAACCTGCGCTTCCTTGGTTTAAGCGATTCTCCTTCCTCAGCCTCCCAGGTAGCTGGGATTACAGGCATCTACTACCATGCTCGGCTAATTTTTGTGTTTTTAGTAGAGACGGGGTTTCACCATGTTGGCCAGGCTGGTCTTGAACTCTTGACCTCAGGTGATCCGTCCACCTCGGCCTCCCAAAGTGCTGGGATTACACGCATAATGGGATGACCACAGGCGTGGCAGGACCAGAAAGGAGGCCACGGCCAGGCATGGTGGCTCACACTTGTAATCCCAGCAATTTGGGAGGCCGAGGTGGGCGTATCACTTGAGGTCAGGAGTTTGAGACCAGCCTGGCCATCATGGTGAAACCTTGTCTCTACTAAAAATACAAAAACTAGCTGGGTGTGGTGGTGGGCATCTGTAATCCCAGCTACTCAGGAGGCTGAGGCACGAGAATTGTTTGAATCCAGGAAGTGGAGGTTGCAGTGAGCAGAGATCAAGCCACTGCACTCCAGCCTGGGTGACAAAGTGAGATTCTGTCTCAAAAAACAAAGACAGGTGCATTGTGGAGTTGCTGGGAGCAAGTGGTGGCGGGGACACAGGCCCTGCACTTGAGTACTTCCTGAACTCTCAGCTCACTGCCCTCCTTCCTGGTTCTGGGAAAATGGAGGCGTCTGTCCCAATGCCTGCTCTTGGTCCATGCGCTCTGCTTCCCTGCCTTTCCCAAGGTGACCGTCCACGCTGCCACCTGGGCCCTGGCCCTGCTGCAGCGTGCTCCGCCCCTCTGCTTCTGGCTCCTCCAGGGTTTGCTTCCTGTGATCCTCTCTCTCTCTGTCCTGCATCCTCATCCTGCCCCTCAGCATGAACATGAACGTGCAGGAAGCATTCTGGGAGCTGGTTGTATCTCATGCTCCCTGCACCAGGCACTGCTCCAAGCTCTGCTCCCTGTTCCTCCCGCTGACTCCTTTGCCCTTCACAATAAGCTTATTAGATAGGCGCCACCATGGTGCCCATTCACAGATGGGAAGGCTGAGGCCAGGTGAGACAGAATCTTACCAGCGGCTCACATCCAGTCGGGGTAAAGCCACACCTGTTATTTCTCATCCCGATGCCACATTTCTACCTTTAGCCCACATTTGCTTCCAGTGACTGCCTATTGTCTCGATAACAAAAC